GGGAGTGGCGGCAGCCGGCGTTCGCCTGGAAGAGGCGTGGGTGCGCGAGCACCGTCGCCTCCGTCGCCGATGCGTTCGCGATGGTCGCGATGAGAGCGGCGCGCTCGTCGGCGCGCGCCTGGGGAGGGAAATGTCGCGGAAATGTCGCGGGCGTGTCGCGGGCGGGCGGCGGGGCGGGCGGGTGGGCGGCTTCGGGCGGATCCCTGGGCCCCCTCTCGAGGCCTCTCGGGTGGTCACCTCGGCCGGGGACGCGTACAGCGCCGCCTTCATCGCGGCGAGCGTGTAGAGGGGGAGGAGGCGCAGGTTCTCTGGCAGCAGCAGCGCCGCCGTCGTCTTAGCGTGTGGGGGGCAGAGCGAGCGGTACGCGCGCAGCGCCTCGAGGCATGCGTTCTGCAGCTTCTCGGCGCCCGTGAGCGGCGACGCGCTCAGCGTCGCCTCGGCGGCCAGCCGCGCGGTGAGCGAGACGCACGCGTCGACGTCGGCCGAGTCGAAGATCGAGTTGAGGGCCGAAGTGACGGGCAGCTCGAGGGTGAGGACGCGGATGCGCCGCTCTCCTGCGGAGTCAAATGCAGCCGGCTCACGAGTCGACACCCGAGCGGGAGGGCCGGCGGTGCGCCGCTCGCCCGAGGTGGTTGTGTAGAGGAGCGCGGCTTGCAGGCAGGCCGTCGACGCGCCGATCTCGTTCTCCTCGTGCGCGATCTCGACGGCGAAGGACTTGTCCTCGTCCACCTACCCGCGGGGACAGCCAGCCGTGCACTCATCACTGGAAGAAGCAGTCTCTATGGGCGTGCCCAAGCGACACCTACTCACTCCGACCCGCCCGTCGGAATGCGCGGCCCCCCCGCACGCGGCCAAAGTCCCGCCCTCGGGCCACGTTTGGGAGCGCGAGGAGGTCGACGCCCCGGATGAAGAAGTGGCCGTAGAAGGCGGCGATCCGCAGCCCGCGCGAGGCGCGGACGCGCATCACCGCCTCGAGCCCCTGCTCCCGCGTCAGCGAGTGCTGCAGCGCGCGCGAGAGGCGCTCGCCTATAGGGAGCTAGAGCTCGCCTAGGCAGCTGGTGCGCAAAGCGATCCTCGCGGCCGGCGGGATGAGAGCGCTGCAGCGAGCGCGCGCGCGGGGGGGGGGGCGCGCGCCCGCAGCCACGTCCGAAAAGGCGGGGAAGTGCTGCACCGAGCCGCCGGTGTGCCGCGCGAGCAGCGCGAGGGTGGCGAGGTCGGCGTAGGCGGAGTGGCACGCCCACACGTCGATGCACAGCTGCTGCTTTGAGCAGTCGACCGCCTGGGTGGGCGGGGAGAGAGTGTGAGAGTGCGAGAGTAGCTGCAGAGACCGGGGACGCAGGCGCTATATCTCGCTATATCTCGCCATATCTCGCCATATCTCGCCATATCTCGCCATATCTCGCCATATCTCGCCATATCTCGCTATTCTCGCCAGCGTCTTGTAAAAGTCGCAGGCGGGCGCGAGCAGCCCGCCGCCCTCCGCGCCCTTTCCGTTTCCGGCGCCGCCCGCCCCCTCGCGGTGAGGAGCTGCCTTGGGGGA